GACGGCCTTGAGTAGCTAGGGGCGGGCTTAAGAGAAGATTTGGAACGGGATTGGAAGATAGACGTGCCTGTGAGGGCAAAGGGGAGGGGTGGGGCTGAGGCTCGGGCGGAGCGGAGAGCCCGGGAGAGAAGGGGGAGGGGAGCGGTGGAGGTGGCGTAGCTGCTGGGGAGGAAAAATGGGGCGAGTTCAAGACCCTAAGCGGGAGGGGAGAGCTGACAAAAAGACCCTTACCCGGGTGGTACTGTGGCCGAGGAAAATCCCACTCGTGGAGGAGCTGCCGCGTCGGCCTCCAGCCCACCTCAAAGGAGCCGAGAGAAAGGGCGAACGACCGGGACTCGTGCAGCACTCGATTGATTGACTTATTAATTGCTTCAAGGGCCAAGACCAACTGCCACCCAGAGAGTGACAACTGCAGAACCAAAGCTGCCTTGCCAGCCTGGGGGTGGGGAAGGGAGACCACCCTTTGCCACACCTCCCACCCAGGTGACAGTTTAACTGCCTCCGCATCCGCACATCAGACCTCCCCGTGCGACCCAGCTGCAACTTGGAGACGTGGGTGGCTTGAGACTGTAAGAAAAAGCCACGTTTTACTCCAAAGTCCCATCTCAGGCCTCTGTGCTTAGGGCGTGGTGACCCGCTGCCAAACTGCGTATGTATCTATGTCATCGTGGATTTCACATGGCTACTTTAACATACGTTCACATAATAAACACGGTGCCTTCGGGTAAAGTGCGTGTAAGATGATTGTCGATTGAAATATGTGCGGTAAACAGGGTGTGAGGAAGGAGGGATTAAGGGGGGCCGGGCATCCTGGAGGGTGCGCCTTTTCCACCACCTGCAACGGAGAAACACGAAGTTAACACGGGGCGTGAAGCCGAGCGTCCCTCTCTGCTAAAAATACTAGCTACCGATAGCAACGACGCCTGATTGGCCACGCTTCGCCCTAGCAACCAGGTCATTGGCTGTCTGGTATCCAGGCGACAGACGTCAAACTGGGACTGGGAGAAGGAGAGAAAGTCCAGGCAAGGATGGGAGGTGGAGAAAGAGAAGCGTTGAATGAAACGCCCATCGCGCCTGGCTTTCCCCTTTCTTCCACTTGCAGGGAGCTCTTCCTGGAAAAACACTCGTTGGGGCGCCGCCTTCCCCCTCGAAACTGTGGACCTTCGTTTGAGGACCTGCCCTAAGAAAGTGAAGCGGCAACTCTCCGAAGAGCAGGGCGCCCGCAGAGCTGGCCCTGGCACCCCCGCGGTGCGCCCTGAGCTGCACTTGCTAGGCCTCCAGGCGGTTGGCTGGGCCCGCGCCTGCTGCTGTCCTTTTAGAAGGAACTGCACGGAGAAGGGAGATTTCTAAAGTCCTGCTGTGCGTGAGATGGGGACGGGTCAGAGGGTTGGGGAGAGAGCAGGTGACTGAGCCTATGTTTATCGTACAGATTGCTAAATTCAAGCGGGGTTTTTGTTTGTTTGCTTGTTTGAAAAATATAGAAGTTACCCATTGGCTCCTGGAATTCGGATCAGTCAGTATTTAGATTTTTAGGGGTCCGCAGAGAAGAGTGTAAAACGATGGCAAACTTCTCACTTTAAAATGCTCTTTACGCGGTGTTATAAACTTTATCATGGGGATTATTTGTTCAGGGCTTTTCCCGCTTTTTGGGCTCACCAGTGTTTCCTATTTTTTCTCTAATGAACATTAATTTCCTTGTAATAAGCACGAGTTTTTAAGATTTTATACTTAATTGAGCACAGAAATGTCAAGAACGCAGGTTTGGGGGAATGATTTACCAGGAGAAACGTTCATGATTTTTCATGAGCCCCGGAGGCATCGTTGCTGTTCCCATCAGGAAAAATAAGATTTCTGCATAAATGTTCAGGATTTCAGCACTGTGTGTGTGTGTGTGTGTGTTGTGTGTGTGTTGTTTTCACTGATGACTTGGAAACTATCTCAATAATTAGGGGGGCATGGCAGGCTTGGTTGAGATGACAATGTCTAAAGATAGATGAATTGTCATTTTGTCAAGCTTATCTATGCTTTCCCAAAATCCTCCCAAGGGGAAGCACACACTCAATCTCCTTCTCTTAACTCCAGACCTAAAAGATGAGAGCAGACATCTGATAGGCATTGATGAAATATCAATAACAGTAAATAGAGTTTTGTTACTGTGTGTTTTATGGAGTTGACACTCACAGAACATGCACATGTGCTTTCTCGTCAAGGGTGCAGTTGACTGGCATTTAATGCATTCACAGTATTGTCGACCCATCACCACCGGCTAGTACCAGGAATAGGAGGAGGGTTCCAGCCAAGCCCCAACACCCACACTCCCCGCAGGCACATGGGCAGCGGCCCCAGAGTCTCCTGGGAAGTGAAAAACACGGAGCCCTCAGGGTGGGGAGACCTGACTTTTACCCCTGGTTCTAAGTTTTGGTTTCTTCACCTGTAAAAAGATTTGACTTAGATCATTTCTACTACTTCATTCAATAAAAACTTTCACATTGATAACTCAAAGCCTCTAAAGTGAATAATTGGGTCTTTTTGAAACATTGCCGGTCTTGAGGTCTAATATTTCCCTCATGCAAGTTCTGCCCATGCATGGACCCTTGTGGGGCTTCTTACTATTGCACATTTACTTTGGAACAATGTGGGGAGTGAAATGATTAGATAGATTTAGAAAGGACAGAAAAAAAAATAGGTATCTGGTATTACGTTCCGGGTGATCTCGCAACCAAGGAGGTATTCCTCTCTCTGGGAAAGTTAGCTCCAACCACAGTCCATGCCATCCTGTCGGTTCCAACGCACGGTGACCCTGGAGGACAGAGTTGAAACGCTCCCTGGGGTTTCTAGACTGTAAATATTTCCCATGGAGTGGCTGGTGGGCTTTAGTGGCTCATCTTGTGGTCAGCATCCCAAGGCCTAGCCACCCGGAAAGGTCACCAAAAACTAAACTCACTACCATTGAGTCGATGCCAACTCACAGTGACCCTATAGGACAGGGCAGAGCTGCCCCTGTGCATTTTCAAGAGTGTAACTATTTATGGGAGTAGAAAGCTCCATCTTTCTCTTGCAAAGTGGCTGGTGGTTTTGAACTGCTGACCTTGCAGTTAGCAGCCCAATGTATAACCACCATGCCACTGGGGCCCAGAGACACTGAAAACCTCAGCCCTTTTCCTTACATCTTTGCAACCCACA